TGAATATACAGCTAACAGGTATCCCTGAATGAGTTGAGGGTGAAGAACTACTGTCCTGCACCCAGTCTGCTCTAGAGCCTTGGGAACTGTGCAATATGAAGGCTGCGCAGTTGCCCTATATGGTGATCTCCCATTTGTGGTATTTCTGGAGAAGAGGCAGCAAGCCCCGATTGCCAGAAGACTGAGGGATCACTCCATCAAGTATCGATGGAAATGGAGGGCTCGCTCATAGTTACAGGAGGGGATGACATACTTACCCTGACAACTGCTGATGATCCAGAGACTTTCCTATACAAACTAGACCTACATTCACAGGCGAAGACCATGCTTCGGGCAGAGGAGAGTCAACCATAACCCTGTGGAGGGCACTTCACAGCCCCGGACTCGCCAGTCTGGGACTTCGGTCCACAGGCTGCTGTTCAAGACATGATGTGCTGCCCTACAGTGGAGGCAATCTACCTCTAATATAGAAAAATGCCCCTAGGTTTTTGTGTGCAGGATAAATGCTCCTTAGCATAGCTCTCCCCTTGTATATTGGCTGAATTTATTTAGTCTATTCACAATAAAGTTCAAACCCAAAGTGTTCCTCTTGTCATATATATTTTTGTTTCCTTCAGTATTTCTTTTATACTGTCATGGAAGTATAATGGATGAGTAAATTCCAATCAACTTCAAATTGAAAAAAAATATGTTCAGTTTAAATTCACCTTTAATTCTCAGTTTAGTGAATAACCACATTAGATGAGACTTGGCCCATTTCTATTAAACAAAAGTTTAGTCACAAAGTTTCTAATTAAATGATATAAGAACCTTCAAATTGTTACTTTGATTTTAAAAGAACAATTCAAGAACCAGTTCAATTTAGAAGGTTTGGCTAGCACCCCCTTACCCGGATTTAAATTTCATTCAAAACATTTTTTAATAGTTTGACGACATATCTGGGGTCAACGGGGTTCAAAAGGTGCCAGGTGCCCCCATCTGTGCCTCTGGAAGATGCAGCACCGAGCTAAGCCAAGCTGTGCAGGGTATAAGTCATTGGCAGTAAGCGCTCAGCTATCAACTGCTGAACCAGCCTTGCAAAGCAGGGCTTATCTCAGAGAATGCTCTTTGCAGGAGACACCTGGTATCCCAGGTAAGTTCTTAAACAATTCACAAACCGTTTGACTGCTTATCTTGAGATGACTACAAAGCAATCCTGACACCATAATCACTGTGGTTAGAGTGCTTGGAGTGTTCCTTTAAACAATCCACTTGTGTTTGCAGCTACAGCAGTATACATTAATTCCTTCACTACTAAATAATTTCAACATAATTATTTGAACAGTAGGATGAATAGCAGGCTATAAATTGCTTTTTATGGATATAGAAAAACTAAATTCTGTACATTTACAGTTTTAATTTTTATTTGTTCATCCTTTACTGATTTCCGTGATTAATAAAACGATTTAAAGATTATACAGTATCCCAGTATCCCATATCTATTTCTGACAGAGATGTTAGCAGAGAAGAATATATATATTTTATCTCACATGCAGTAGATGTGACAAGTTGCATTTACTAAATAATTAACTAAATAATTAAACAACATTTAGATGTCCTGCTTCTGTGTATTTGTAATATACCTGGCATTAGTATTAGAAATCTATGTTTTAAAGGATCACTAAGGATCACTATAGTGATAGTGCCCCATCCTCAGGGTCCCCCTCCCGTGGCACTGAAGGGGTTAAAACCCCTTCAGCCGGGGGGCGGGGCCAGACCGCCATGCTGAGCGGACGCACAGTGGAGTAGCTCCTGAAAACTCCTCCAGTTTTCGGCCCTAAAAACCGGCATAACATTCACTAACCGACTAATAACTGTACCCCAGTGCAAGAGGCAACCCTTGTCCCGAGGAGAGGCTTGCCGCGAGGTTCTAGTCCCTCTGGGAGGCGATCCAAGTCGTACGTGATGGAGACCGCTCGGGCGGTGAACGGGGGTTGGACGACCGCTGCCCAGCTATCCTGCCCACCAGCGGTAAGGCAGAAACGTGAAGCTAGGTGGTCTGGCCCTGCCCCCCCGTCTGGGCCGGCGGGGGTGATCCCGGTCCCCATCCTATGACCCATCTGAGTGCCGCATCCCCGGCGAGAGCCCGCTCCCAAAATAGCAGAGACCGCATGGCAACTCAAACGGGAGAGCTGCCAGACACACCCTCCTCTCCTGATACAACACAGGCAGGTTTGCCAACCACGAAAGAGAGAGAACCAGCAAATAAGAGCCAAGTCCCCAAAAGCCAAGGAGGAGCAGAACCAAAACCCGAAGCGCCAGTGGATACTGACCCCGAGGAGGATGCCTGCCGCACCGCTCAGCTTCCCGCAAGGGGGCCGAAACAGAAGGTCTGCCCATCTATAGCCACCATACAGGGACTCTCCTCCCACCCACAACAGGCACCAGGCTGGACGGCAACTGACCCAAAAAGGGAACTCTGAGTATTGCTGCAGTCACCAAGCATATTGCCTTATTAAAGTAACCTACACTGCATACAGACGGGTCGCCTAGCATGCCGACACGGACTCTCGCCTGGCTGACATGGCTGACATGGGGCCAACATGGAGTGGTTATTTTAAGCTTTGAAACACAATCTTTGTTGTTACTGCTGCTTTTATGTTGTTTTTCTTATGATTCAGTCTCCAAGCCACCCACACCTTAGCTTAAAGCTAGAATAACATGTAACCATTTAATCACACGCAGACAAGATAGATTTAACCAGCCTAGTAAGAGTTGAATAGTCTAATAGTCTAATCTTGTTCCTATAATCTATGCACAAGCCATGTTTTCCTCCTTTGTCTCTACTCTACCTATTCTTCTATGACACATGCTTTTTGCTAATTTATCTGAACTACTGTAATAGAGAGCATATTACCATAAAATGTGCCTGTATAACGATTGCCATGACATGTAATATCAATGTTCACCAACCTTACCAGGTGTCGCTGTTGTGGCTCACCAAGGCTATTTGTTAACTCTGTGCACACCCAAAATAAAGAATTATAAAAACAAACAAACAAAAAAAAAACCCTTCAGCCACTTACCTTAATCCAACGCCGGGCTCCCTCTGCGCTGGTGACCTCTCCTCCCCGTCCGACGTCAGCTACCCTGTCCGACGTCAGCTCCCCTGTCCGACGTCACTGAAGCCGAATGTGCTCCAGTGACGGAAGACAGCCAGTAGAGGCTGGATTAACCACAAATGTAAACTGAAACTGTTATGTTGAGCTGAAGTGGTCTGGGTGACTATAGTCTCTTTAAGTTCAGTTATTTTGCCCTAAAATTATGACATTTCCTTTGAATTTACTTAGAACTCGAAACAATTCACATTTCAGTAACCATAGTTAAAAAATAAATTAAATATGCTTTCTGAACTAATCTGGACAGTATTCCAGAGTTGAGAAATAACACATTTACATCAATATTTCATTAGCACTAGGATCCTGCACACATATTTGCACAGTACATATTGCAAGTTCATAAAATGCAATGGTGGACTGTGGTCTATAATTGATTTGGCCGTACCAAAAAGGCTGCAGCAATTCATGTGACCAAAGTTTGCTGGAGCACAGCACTCAATGACTATTATTGAATGCTGTGAGCACGCAATGTACTCTCATATCATTGAAACATTTTATAGGTATTGAGAAAGTATAACATTTTGACAGATCAGATGCAGAGGTTAGAGGCTAAAGGTACCAGAGACATCCCTAGTTTACGTGAAGCCTCTTAAACAAACACACACAAAAAACCCAGAAGTTGTAGAATCTATAATCACTTTGCACCATAGCCACTACAATACCATGTAGTGGTTAGGGTGGATACAGTCTCTGTTTAAACTCTACTGTTCCTTTAAAAAAAATCTGAAATGTTAACAGCTCATCATATGAGGGGGGTGTATGTGTGTGTGTGGGGGGGAGGGGGCTTGCAAAGATAGAACAATAAAAAATCAAGGCCTTTACTTCACATACTGTTTTCATTGATGTGCATTTGGGAAATCACACTGAGATGGAATTATGCTTAAAACTACTATTAAGAACTTCACTGTAGCTCTTTTAAAGTACATTTCTTCCCACTGTGCCGTGAAAAGAAAAACTGTGTCATATATTAGTATGTGTGAATGCTATGTATTACTCTTTTAGAAGCTATGTTCAATAAATAATGAAATTGTATTTTATTTATATTTAGCATTATATTTTATATAATTTTAACAGAAAGATATTGAATTAGGATTTGATTATTTGGCTTTCAGTCTATGTAAGTTTATAGGCAATTGAAAGATAACAGGAAAACTCATCACTCACCAGACGAGCGGGCAAAAAAGTTAGCTCTTCTAATTTTAGATGGTTAACTTAATGTCCTACCTCCCAATAATGGGATGTAGGATGGACGGAATGGTAGTCAAGAAGGGGGAAGCTATAGTAGGTGGGCTATCTAGTAATGCATTTGCACTGAACTAATTGGAGACATCAGAGTGGTGGGACAGAACTCCAAATTCAAAACAGTTCCACTGAATCCAGGACTGTTAAATAGTGTGCATTTTTGATTCCTGAATGAATAATTTTGGCCTTTCATCCCCTAAACACAGTAATGCGTGGATCACTTGTTCGTTAAACACTTTCCCTGGGAAATTAGTTAAACCAGGGACATTAATCTTTTTTTTGGACACTTGTGCCACAGGGACAGGACATCACCCTGGCTTTCTAACAAACTCTGTTACAACTGCAATGGGCACTGTGATAGGCTGAAATCCATCAGCTGACACTCTCAGCCAATCACAGCTGTTCATTGCTGTTTTGGCTAATGCTTTCACGTTAGCCTCATTAGGCTAATGCTTCCTCATAAGTTTGACAACTTATCTGGGTCCTGATAGGTACTGCCAGGAGAAAGCCAATTGCTCTATTGAGCACAGAGAGCTAACGCGGGACTATGTTTATTGCCTGACAGTTGGCTGACATTCATTGGCTGGTGCCAATGATTTGCTTTGCCCTAAACAGTGACATCCAGCTTATTCTGCCTTTTTTTAATGTTCGGTTCAACAAGTCAGGGCTTTAGCAGCACCCAACCTGAATGTCAGACTTAAACCGACTCACCTTACATTATGTACACAGTCCTTCAGATAAGCTTGCTATGTCACCAAAAGTTGGAAGACTATTGTAAAGTGCAACAGGAGCTCATGTTAGAGCTCTCCAACGCTGAACTTGTTAAACACAAGGCATGTCAGCTTATAAACACTGCATGCTGACATGCAAGCGTGCTGGATTATACGACTCGTTACAGAAAAGCTAGTTGCATCATGAACATACCTACCACTATCCCAACTCATCCCATACCTCTCTTGGCACGTCTGTACATAGATGTGACCAAACTGCCAATAACAAATAACAAACCAGGTTCTTGCCATGAACAGAATATCTTATTTATGGTAATTTTTATTTACACATATATGCTGATTTTGCTGTAATGCACATATGTGTTATAGTGGTTATGGTGCTTGTAGTGATCTTTTAACTGTAATTATATATATATATATATATATATATATATATATATATATATACTTCATATTGCACTTGACCTGTTAACACTGTGGCTTATATCCAGTTTGCAGACACACTAAACACCACAACAACTTTAGCCCAGTGAAGTGGTTTTAGTGTACAAATCATTCCCCTGCAGTCTCATCGCTCAATTATTTGCCATTTAGAAGTTAAATCACTTTGAGTATGCAGCCGTATCCACACATTCTCCGGCTAAGACTAACACAGCCTTCCTACACGCTTCCTGAAAAAGAGTCTATATTGTTTTAGCTTTCTTTATTTCACAGTGTGTTTAACTTAGAATTTCTGATTTCCTGATCTGCTAATTGCCTGTAAGAGCCTGCTACAGCTACCTGTGTGATTAAAGTTCAATTTATAGAGCAGGATATAAAATCTACTAAGTAAACATACTTTTCTATAAGGTCTTGTTAATAATTTAAACTTTTTCGTGTTGGCTGTGTGAATTACAACCAGGTGAGATTGTCAGGGATCCGCGGGCGGCTAGGAGGGGAGGCTGCACGCCACTTGCAGCACTCACCCTCAGTCCGTCTCCTCTCTGCCGCTCGCGTCCTCCACGCCTCCCAGCGGCAGCATGTATAACGCTGCACGCTGGGAGGACACTAAATTATGCAAACGCCGGGGTCACGTGAGTAAGTTATCCAATCAGAATTAAACCAAGGGTATTTATACTTACCTTTCCTGTCCCTCAGTGCCCTGTTGTGGTCTTGTGATACCTGTAGTGTAGTTTTCTCGTCTTGCTGATTATTTGGCTCGTTATTCCGATTATCCTGTCTTCTCCACTACTTTGACCTCGGCTTGTTTCTCGTTCTCCCGTTTTCTGGCTCCCTTAACTTGGCTTGTCTCCTGATCATTCTTAGTGTGCTTAGCCCGGCCACTCTAAGGACCGGTATAGCACCCTTCCTCTCTGTGTCCTGTTAGCGTGTTAGGTTCCGTAATCGTGACATTAGCACCCTTCCTCTCTGTGTCCTGTTAGCGTGTTAGGTTCCGGAATCGTGACAGAGATGTGGCTAGGGCTGCAAAAACAGAAACCAAAATAATGTAATTCTTAAATGAAAGAGAATTGAGTCTGCACGGGTCTAATCTATCCTCCAAAACTGCTTCATTAAGCTAAAGTTGTTTTGTGTCCTAAAGTGTCCCGTTACTATAAACATGTCTTCAAGGTAAAAAGTCTGCTTTAAGGACTATGAATAAGAAGCAAAAGAAGCAGTATGTAAAGCAGCAAACACACTCAGAATACAGATAAATACATCTTCAAGATTATGATTAAATAGAAATAATTGGGAAAATTTAACAGGACAAGAATTCCTTCCAGGTGTGGTATTCACATTTGGAAGCTGTTGCTGTAAACTCACAACATGCAGTTAAAGGGGCTCTCAATGCAAGTGAAACAGGTCAATGCAAGTGAAACAAAAAAAAAATCCATCTGAGAGATAGGAGGATCATTAGACATGGCCAAATCAACAGTTTGATACGTTCTGAGAAAAAAACAATGCACTGGTGAGCTCTGCAGCAAAAAAAGGCCTGGACATCCACAGAAAACAACAGTGGTGGATGATCTTGGATCCGTTCCATGGTAAATAAAAACCCCTTCACAACATCCAGCCAAGTGAAGAACACTCTCCAGGAGGTAGGCATATCATAATCCAAGTCTATCATGAAGAAAATACTTCACAAATGCAAATACAATCCATTCATAAGCCTCAAGAATAGAAAGGCTAGAATAGATTTTATCAAAAAGCATCTAAAAATTCATACCAGTTCTGGAACAGCATTCTTAGGACAGATGAAACTAAGTTCAACCTGTACTAGAATGGTGGGAAGAAAAAAGTATGGAGAAGGTTTGGAATGGCTCATGCAATGGATCCGAAGCATACCACATCACCTTTAAATCACTGTTGAGGCAGTGTGATTGCATCGGCATACATGCTTTCCATTGGCACTGGGTCACTATTGTTTTTTGATGATGTGACAGAAGCAGCAGGATGAATTCTGAACAATATAGGGATATAACTGCTCAGTTTCAGGCAAATTTAGAAAAGTTGATTAGACAATGCTTCACTTTAAAGATGGACAATGACCATGACATACTGTGAAAGCAACCCAGGAGTTTTTGAGGCAAAGAAGTAGAATATTGTGCAATGGAAAAGTCAATCACCTGATCTCAACACGATTGAGCATACATTTCACTTGCTGAAGACAAAACTTAAGGCAGAAAGACTGACAAACAAACAACAACTGAAGACAGCTGCAGTAAAAGCCTGGCAAAGCTTTACAAATGAGGAGTGTTTGGTGATGCCCATGCATTCCAGACTTCAAATATTCTTGACAAAGTATTACAAATTTACATCTTATTTATTATTGTGTTAATTTGTCCAATTACATTTGAGCCCCTGAAATAAAGGGACTGTGTATAAAAATGGCTGCAATTCCTAAACGCTTCATACAATATTTTTGTTCAAGCCCTTGTATTAAAGCTGAAAAGTCTGTACGTCAATCGCATCTAAGTTGTTTCATTTCAAATCCATTGTAGCGGCGTACAGAGCCAAAAATATGAAAGTTCAATGTGTCCAAATACTTTCAGACTTAACTATGTATGTACATATAAACAGACAAAATGAAAGAGGAGGAGAGCCACTTACATATAGTAAGTGGAGTCCATACTCATTCACAGATATATACCTCCTAATGTAAATGTAACATAAAAAGGGGGGGTATCAACCTTTATTAGGAAATTGAAAAAAATAAATCAATACTTAAAAATGGTAAAAGATTACCAAGAGTGAATACACCGATACACCGACCCGATGTGTGAGTAGAGTAAGATTTAAACACTCATAGAGAAAATCTGGGATAGGTATCTCTAAGTTGTATGTAGTATTCTATAGGTGAATCTATAAGAGAGCCCTTTCCATAAAGCATAAAAGGTAGAAATGCCAAAGAGGATGGCGTTTGTCCAAAAAATTATTATGGTTGGGATATATAGTGCCTGGTAGTAGTTATGGTACCAAAGGGAGCAAAGGGCTGTAGTCACTAATATAGGCAAATGTGTATAGAGGATGTATTAGAGAGTGTATGCTCACTTCTATAGAATAAAGGAGCACATCCACCTGCACACAGGTACTGGGGTTATGTAGTATATATAGAACAGTCTCTCTGACAATAGTGAATGCCCACAGGGGCATACAGTGCATATAGAGAGAAATGGGGATATTTATGATCGGAAAAACCGGTAAGGAGCCCCTCAGGTATAACCATCAAATACCCTAGATTGCCCTGGACTAACTATCTAGATCACACAGTGGTAACCTAAACTAACTGCTACTTCAAGGCAGCCTCAAATCTATCCCTATCATCCCATCAGGTAAATACACCATATAGAGAGACACATTGAGCCCAGTTAAGAAAAAGGGGTAAAGCAAAAAAGTGCTAAAGTGCCAAAAGAAAATCAGAATAAAATAATTGCATCGGCAAAAAAGTAGCTCGACGCGTGTTTCGACGTTTCGATACGCCTTTATCAAGAGCCATAAATAAAATTCCCCCCCACCCCCCAGGTGACTAGGGGTCCCCAAACCCATAGTCACCCCCTCCCCCAAAAAATATAACCCCTACCTAACCCATCATCCTAAAAATAATGAGGGGGGACCCTTGGCTAAATACCTGTAAAAAAAAAAATAGACTTACCATTTGATGTCTTCTTTCTTCTAAAATCTTATTTTTTTCAGCCCCAAAAAAGGCCAAATAAAAATCCAGAATAACCGACACACTTTAAAAAAAAAAAATCATTTTTCACCCATGGAGGGCTCCGCGCAGACTGAGCTCTGCAGGGCGGGGGAAGGCTTATAAAGCCTTGCCCCGTCCTGCAATTAGGCTCAAGCACTCTGATTGGTGGGTTTAAGCCTCTAAGTCTCTACATTTACCTGTCACAGCACTCTAATTGGTTGGCTTGAAATCCACCAATCAGAGTGCTCTGTGTCATTTTACACAGCGTGAGAAAGTTCTTTGGGGGTCCCCCCCCCCACCCACAGCACAGGGGTGGGGGCCAGGGGGAGGACATTAGGTCCTCCACCCAATTTTTATTTATGGCCCCCACCCACCGCTCAGGATTGGGGGCTGGGGGAAGGACAGTAGGTCCCCCCCTTATTGTTATTTAGGGCCCCCACCCGCCGTGCAGGGGTGGGGGCCAGGGGGGCGGACATTAGGTTATTTTTAAGTTATTTCCCTATCCACATTTGTTTGCAGGGCACTTGTCCTACTCTTACCCCCATTTTACTTCCTTTTCCAGCCCTCTTGCCCTTTCCAGGAGTTTTTTAGAGCCATTTTTGTGGCCAAAAGTTCGGGTCCCCATTGACTTCAATGGGGTTCGGGTTCGGGGTCAAGTTCAACCCCGAACCCGGACTTTTTTTCAAAGTTCGGCTGAACCCGCTGGACCCGAACATCCAGGTGTCCGCTCAACTCTACAAACTAGTAATCGTGTCCACAAGTTGGTAGATGGAAATACTCTCCATATGACTCCATTAGATATAGATATAGATTGTAATGCATATTATGAAAAACAATACAACATTGACTTGAATTAGCACAAGGAGATGTTAGATAAATCTTTAAACAAGATGGATTGCCTACTATATCTATAATTCAGGGAGAAATGCTGGACAAACCTAATGTGATCAATTAAATTATGAAAGCTATTTATAGATTAGATAACTATAAATCCCCTGGTCCAAATAGCTTTACTAACTATTTTTATAAGCTCTATCGTTCTAAGATTGTTGACATTTTGACTTTAACATTTAATAGTATTGTCCAAAAAGGCAAGTTCCAAGCTGACTTGATATTAAAATAGGGAAAATTAACAACTGAAGTAACAAACTATCAACCTATTTGTTTTTATTACAGTGGACACAAAATTATTTGCTACAGTATTGGCGGATAGGTTAAAAGGACCAATTGAGGATTTAGTCCTCCAAGATCAAGTAGGTTTTTTACCTGGCAGAAGCTCTAGTTAAAATAGTTAGGAGAATATTTGATACACTGGATATTACAAAAAGAAAAAGATGCTTTCTCCTCCTTACTCTTTTATTAGACATGGAAAATAAATTTGAGAAAGCCGGATTCTATGTAAGAGGTTTTGCGTAGATGTGGTATATGGGGATGGTTCTTAAGAGTCATTTTGGCACTATGTAGAAATCCACCCTCTAGTCTAAAACAATAGACCTTAATATTTGCTCAGAATGGTACCATCTCACCAATGGTACAAGACAGGGTTGCCCCCTTCCACCTTTGTTGTATATCCTAACTATTGAGCCTCTTGTAGTTGATATTAGAAAATAATTATTATATTAAGGGTTTTCCTTTGCGACAAGGTAAAGCCAAATTGATATGTACACAGATGACGTCCTAATCAATATAACAACTCCACTAAGCTCTCTAAAAGCCTTAATTAAAGAAATTAAAAACTACAGTATTATTTCAAATAATAAGCTGAACATGCTGTGAAGAAAATAGCATGTTATTCGAGACTTTTATTGCCATTCGGGACTTTTTTATGCTTTATTGGTTCGGTAGCCATAACTACCGAACACCGACCACCCACCTGGCTCATTATCTTCAAAGAAAACTGTCGATTAAGCATTCTCCCTGTGTGGCCGTCGTTCGTAAAGCCGAACGCCACGTGGGAGAGAAAATGGCGGCCATCTTGTTTTCACAAAAGGAGGCAGAGGGACTTGGTCGTCGAGTGTCTGGAACTAAAATCGGACACCTGACTTCCCGAACAGTGGTCAAACCATACGAATGCCTGCTTCCTTATCTCGAACAGCCTGGAGAGCGCTGTACGGTAGTTTGGTTCCCACGAACCAGGGGCCTCAGTTCGTGCAAGTTTTTCTGACTTTTTGAAATAGACCGACCACATAGCCTAAACTCATGGAACTGTTTCTGGGCAGGAGCCTCATGTGCAGTCAGTCAAATGGGACTTTCACAAAATTCGAAAACCCCTTAACTGATTTGGATGATTTATGGATATGTTGGTCACCCAGATCAGAGCTATCAGGGGATGTGACTTTTATGGGGATACTATGTGTTTTAGGGTACTTTCCAAATTTTGGGGAAAATATGTTTTACTGCCTGGAGATAATTGAGTTACTAAGTTAGCTGACTCAATTATCTCACAGGCAGAGAGGAGGGGAGTGTTTGCATTGGGAGTGTTCATCTTTGTCACTGTAATATTAATGGCTGTGTCCCTGTCCCCACAAGGTCCATGTGGGAGTGCCCCTTGCACTCTAGGCTCATGTTTGGGTAACTGTCAACTTGCTGGGGAGAAACTACTTGGATGCTGCATTCGTCTGGAACTATCTACACCCAAACTGCAGCTATAATCACTCATGCTGAGCAGCTCGGGAGACTAACAAGAGGAGATTTCGTGGTGGAGGAGAATCAATACTATTCGAGCTTACATTCTTCTTAAATGTTCTCAGCTTTTCCAAATGGTCCCATTAAAGGTTACTGACAGTTGCTTAAAACGGTCCAAGATAGCTTTGATGGTTTTGAATGGAAGGGCTAAAAAATTCCAGAATAAGTAGAAACATTTTAGCATTAAAACAAAGAATATGAGAACTGAGAATGGACAAAAGCTGAGAGAAACTCAGTAGCTTGCCGTTCGATAAATCCCTCAGGTCTCAAAATAGTTTTTGCTCACTTGTGCCGTTACAGAGAGAACATATCTGAAGCATATCAGTCTAATCCCACCCCTATGGTTAGTTCAGAACCAAAATGCCAGCAAGATCTCTGCATGAGAGATACAGCAACCCCTTCTCTAAACTTTTGTCCATTTTCAGGGTCTAAATTACATAGAAATAAATGTTAAATTAATTAATAAATGGTACTTTGTCCTGGATAGATTACATAAGATATGCTCATATTACCCTGATATTTGTTGGAGATGTAATCAGAATGTTGGCTCATATGGTTGCAGAGGTCGCTGCGACTTGGCCTAACACTTAACTGCAACGTGGGCCACCTGCATTACTTCTGGGCTGGTGCACAGCCACACTGGCTGAAGGCTCACGGTTGCCAGCAGGAAGGGAGAGCAGTGCTGCTGTGTGTAGTGCGGCCGGGCGGTCTGACAGGATGAGAGCACTTCCTGTCAGACTGGGTACTGCGGTGGTGAGCATGTAATGGATGAGGGAGAGAATGACACACACGGCGAGGCCTGGGGGATTGGTATGACACCCATGGAGTGGCTGGGGGAGGTTTTAATGACAAACATGAAAAGGCTGGGGGTGGTGGGAATGACACACATGGAGGGGCTGGGGAAATTGTGGATTACACACATAAAGGGTCGGAGATGTTGGGGATGACATGGAGGGGCTAGGAGGGTTGAGTATGACATGGAGGGGTTGGGGATTTGGAATGATGCACATGGAGGGGGTTGAGTATGACGCACATGAATGGGCTGGGAGAGGGGAATCACACACATGGAAGGGCTGTGGGGGGGATATGACACGCATGGAGGGATTGAGGGAGAAATTAGATGCATCAAGGAACTGTGGGGGAAATGAGAAGCATGAAGGGGCTGTGGGGAATGAGACGCATGGAGGAGCTAGGGAGGATAAGACGCATGGAGAGACTAGGGAGCAATAAAAAACATGGAAGAGCTAGGGAATGAGACACATGGAGGGCCTATGTGGGGAATGAGATGTGTGAATGGGGTTGGAGGGGTTGAGACACATGGAGGGGGCCCAGGGCAATTTTTGCACCAGGGCCCTGTGATTTCTAGTTACGCCTCTGGTGTTAGGATTAAATACATTTGGATTATGGTATTTAACTACTTGAGATGTACAGATAATATTATTTTTAGAAATCTCCAGAAGTAGCGATACTGCACTGGTCCAGAATGAAAACACAAGAAAAATATTTAATCATACATAGTTTTGTTGCAGTTAAAATTTTGATAGCACGTTATTGGAATTTAAGACCTAACTCATGTCTCAACTGGTAATGGATAACTGGATTAAAGTTTTAGATAATATCACCTCTGATTGTGTAGATTAAAACACTATACTTTTGGTAGGTAGAATGAGATGAAATGTCCTGGTTCAAGTGCTCTGCTTTGTTTCTTTTTAATGTATTGTATATTTGTACACCTGATTAAACACCTGACATAATTTGGATTCTCTCCCTTAAATTTTGGACAGCAGTATGGGTTATCACCAGGTGTTGTCATGTTATGTAAACCTATTGTAGTCAAGAAATCAGATTTGAATAAAGATTGATAAGAAAAAAGAGAGAAAAGGAAAAAAATTGTATTATTATGATGAGTACAGTAAATGATCGGCAAATGATTCATGCTAGCTAGATTATTGTAATTACTGGATCTTACATATTGTGCACTACTGATGGATCCTAGTGTCAATAGTGATCAGAAAGTAGTTTGAAAATAAACAAAACAGCTCTTCATTGTCACACCTCCTGAAAAATGTTTAAAATAAATAAAGTGAAGTGCGTACACTTAATTTTATATTTTAATAAGAAATATGATTTTTCATCAACTTTGTAAAATGAGGTTTAATTATGATATTCAAATTTAATAAATGTTTGGGTGTAAAACACATATCGTACAACTCCCAGCTGGGGATCTACTATTTGCCCATCCTTGCAGGGTTGTACTTAGCACTGAGCAGTGCTTGTATGTTTATATGTGAGCATGTTTTTGAATGCAGTATGTGTGTGAATGTAGGTGTAATGTGTTGTTATGTACTGTTACCATTTGAAAGCAGTGGTTTACACATGTATAGTATTTGCTTTTGAAAGTAGGGGTGTGTCTGTATGTAGTGTTGATGTTTGAATACGGGGTATATTTGTGTGAAGTGTTTGAGTTTGAATGCTAAGATATATAAACTGCCATATATATATATATATATATATATATATATATATATATATAATTTTATATATATACACACACAAACTGATACATCCGGATACACAGACAAACAGATACACAGGTACTAACACATACAAATTCACAGGCACACACTAACACATACAGATACACTGACGCACGCTGACAAAGAAACAGATACACAGATGCACACTGACACACAAACAGATACACAGGAGAACACTAACACACATACAGACACACACTGACACACATACAGATACACAGGTACAGACGCACAGATACACACTGACACATATGCAAATACACAGATACAGATACACAGACACACACAAACACATACAGATACAGAGACACACACAAACATATACAGATACACAGACACACACTAACACACATCCACACCCAGATATACATAGACACACAGACAACATTACATAGTTTTAACCATTCCTCCTGCTTTCATACCTGGTGTCCAGTGGCATCTGGCTGAATGTGATGGAAGTTACGCTCTCCTTCCTCTGGTGCAGCCTCTTGGTCTCCCTCCTCTCTGTCCCGGCAGCTTGTTGGTAATCAGGGTCAGGGGAACTTCCTCCCAGCAAAACTGCAATACATAGATCAGGAGACCGGATGCGCTGATAAAGGGTCCCCTGATCATTGAAACCTTTTTTTTCTTTTCGTTGGAGTGGCCCGTGCAGGAGGTGCACATCAGCGTAAGAACGTGACGTGATGTTGCGCACCTCCGCACACTGGGCTGCATTCATTGTCAGCTCTGCCGGGCCCTGCCTCCACTTTTTGCAATCACTGCCTCACCAGGTTCGAGGACGTTATTGCGCATTGGACTCGAGTGACCGGTGTCAATTTAGTAGTGTGAATGACTGACAGTGCCAGACACATAGAGCGGGCTGCGGGCCCCCGACAGCTCAGTCTGCCCCTGGCGATGGAGGGACTTACCTGGCATCCAAGGGAGTCCCCCTGCTGCTGATCTGGCCCTCCTGGGCCATGTGAGTGCAAGGTTCTTGCGAAGACCTCCCGATCACATGGACGAAATAGCCGTCCATAGCAGTGCCAGCAGCGGGAGCGCCTGGAATGACAGGTAGTCCCCCTGCTGCCTGGAAAAACGTAAATTAAAGTTATAACAGTGTAAAATAAAATATACTTAGATCATATATATATATATGATCTAAGTATATATATACACTTACACATATACACACACATATACACTGTCTGAGACAAGTATATTTTAATACACTGATATCAGTGAAAGTAATTGTTGTGAAACGTTTTACGGTTTTACAACACTAATATTTGTGTTTAGCGAAGTCTCCTGAGTGTAACAGTACCCCTCATGTACAGGTTTTATGGTGTTTTCCAAAGTTACAGAGTCAAATATAAGGCTTGTGTTTCAGTTTTTTCACATTGAAATTAGCCAGATTGGTTACGTTGCCTTTGAGACTGTATGGTAGCCCAGGAATGAGAATTACCCCCATAATGGCATACCATTTCCAAAAGTAGACAACCCAAGGTATTGCAAATGGGGTATGTCCAGTCTTTTTTAGTAGCCACTTAGTCACCAGTTGAAAGTCCCAGTGTGCGCAAGAGCTTTGGCCTGCTTTGGTGGTAACAGAATGGTAAGCAGGCAACAGACATAGTGAGGCATGTCTGGAAGGGCCACCGAATCTGAGCCATCCCTGGTCATCAGATTATATTGCCACCTTTGGTCTTCGATGGCGTCCACCTTGTCACTGAAGGATAACTGTTGTTGCTGTATGTCCTTGATTTTTTTCTCCACTGAGGAAATCCTGGAGTCCTGGGTGCTGATGAGGTCTCCAGAAGGGTGAGTCGCGAGGTGGCACCTTAGACGGCATTCTTATAATAAGTCATGTCGGCCGCTATGTTCACCCTGAGCTCTGCTAGCATATTCTTAAGCAGGACTGCTGTGACAAGCTCATCACGGTCAGGTTGTTTGTTGTTAGATCCCTTTGTTAGGCCCTGCAAGGTTCCTGCTCTACAATCCAAAGGGATATTCTCCAAAGTGTAAGAGGATACTTCATTCCCCAGCCCTATCTTGTCCTATACGGACCGCTGTGAGTCCTGCAGCAACTCAACAATATCTCGTCTTGTGGGGCCATTGTTAGCTTTCTTTTTTTTAAATTTTCCGCCCGATGGTTCCTTACTTCAGTATATAAGGTAACTTTCGTGCGGGTAAGCATATTTTTTGCTGCTAAATCCACAGTGTTCAATCAGCTATGTCTGCTCAGCCCCTCAGTTAGCTCTATCTTTCCCTCAATTTCCTTTCTCAATTCACTACTGCAAGATTACTGCTGCATTTCAAAGCAAAGATTGCATCTTGCAAAGACTAAGAGTTCTATTAAGAAACATTTTTCTTCCACCAGGCACTGCTCTTACTTATTTGGGGACAGTTCTCTCAACTGCCCTTTTCAACTGAGCATCTGCCCTGGCTGATAGATTCATACATTTGGTTATCCACAGCCTCAGATAATACCAAATTTATTAACCTGATCTATCCAAACAAATACAAGAAAGAGAAAAAAAACATTCTATGTACCTAACTGAATCAAATTAAAATTGTATAACCTTTAATTATTAGCAGGATGACAACCTAGTGCATTTTTTGTTTAGGTTTCTATACATTATTCCTGTTTGATCTCGATCTAGAGAAAGCTTTTATATGAATACTAATAAATGTTATAACATTTTAGTTTGATTTAGTTAGGTACACATTGTGTTTTTCTTTTTTTTCCTCTTTCTTGTATTTGTTTCGATTTATTCACTAGTTAGGGGTTATTCCCTGCTTTTTCCAATGTGTACTGGTCCATATTGGCTTGTCCTCCTTCTCATTTGACCTGATCTATCCACATCAACAGCCTTTTGTCTTATTTTCTTCTTCTTGAATACCCACAACACACATGAAAATAATTTATGAACTAATATGAAATAAGAACCCCTATATATACAGCCCTTTGTGATATATGGACCACAGCTTGTTTACTAATTATCTCCAACTATTAAGGTGATAGTTCTCTGACCTTCTATTTGCTTCTCACCTCCTTTTATGAGTTAAGGCTCACCTGTCCTGTTAGCACAGCGAATACTGTAAAGGGTGCTTTGTTCTTTATAGTTAGAAGTGCAACTTGCCTTCAGGAGGATTAACACAAGATTCCCAGTTGGTCATTCTAGAAGTGGAGTTACACAGGATTCACAAATGGTAAATATAGAGCTGGAATAACACAGGACTCCCCGATGATAAACCCTCTACACAGGGCCATTACAACTGCTATCTGGTATCTCTCTCTCTCTCACCTTGGCACTCAGCAGCCTCTCTCTCTCTCTCTCTCTCTCTCTCTCTCTCTCAGCTTGGCGCTCAGCAGCCTCTCTTTCAGCCTCCTGATATTTAAGGATAAGCTGTAGTCTTTGGTTTACATCTGCTGAGTCCACATATTTCAACACAGATCTCGGCACATCATGGACAGAAGCTACCGTTATCTCCTCTGTGATGTTTGAGGCATCACTTTGCACTGTTCGTTGTATATCATAGTCCACCAATGCTTGTAATAGTTCCTCTTTGGTTTTCCCCTGACAGGAAATAGATCTCTCCCGGCTGGTCAAGCACTTCCTTGGACTGCGCTGTATACTTCATTTAGTAAATAAAAGATAGTAAAGAAAAACAGAGTGGGGAGGAGGACTGTTGAGGTGTAAATATATTATATATGCACTGAGTTCAGCCTTTGGGAATCGAAACAATTTCTTTTAGTGCCTGAATTAACCAACAAATCCAGCAACACTAAAATCTGGTACGAAAAGATGAAAAATCTTTTTAATTATCCCACCGCTATGCCACCAAATTGTCATGAACGCACCCTACTTCCAGAGTGTGCGTGACATAGTTGTGGTGGTGAAAGGGTTAAAGTTCACTATTTGTCTGTACTACTCCGGAAATAATGATAAAATCCCTCTTAATACCACCCACACCTACCCATAGTAATATAAATATTACTATTTTAACGTTTCCACTATCAAGACAATTTATAAACCTTGGTCCCAGACTATCTGTAGATAGTAAGCAATCCATTCTCCGGATAAAATCTTATGGTGTCAAACTAACAAGTGATGAGTGAGTTATGTGCCACTCTTATTTCCCAGCCCTGTAGAAAGGGATCAAGCTCCTTGTGAATTTTGGATCCACAATTGGTGTACTGGCAAAAATCCACCGACTGCTGACAATTAAATATAACAACCTTTATTATCTTCTCTATTAAAATAGCAATTGATAGGAGAAGATATACTGCCTTTATAGGGTTTGTCCACAATGTAAAAACATTCAAAATTGCAAATTGCAATAGCAAACTAGACTCAGTTCGATACAGGAGTATTATATACTCTTACTCCTGAAAACTTTTAGGCCGATATGTGATAACTTACCGATATCAATATACTGTACATTTACTGTTTTGAAAAAAGATAACTCTACTGTTTACTGAACATGTTTATTTAATATTTTTTTAGCAAATCTTTTTTCTATTAAGTGGTAAATGTACCAATTATACATGTTAGTCAGATTTTTTTGTTTTTAAGAATATTTAGTGTTCCTCTCCCTTCACTTTCCCTTAGTGTACCTCTCCCTTCCCTTCCCTGTCCATTAGTGTTCCTTTCCCCTCACCTCCCCTCCCTGGCCCTTAGTCTAACCTCTCCCCTCCCTTTCCTGTCCCTTAGTGGCCCTCTCCCCTCTCTCCCTCCCTGTCCTTTAGTGTGAACCCACCCCCCCCCCGGTGTGCCTCATTATCTCTCTTGTAGCGTGGCCGAGCGCACCCGACCAGGCTGACAGGAAGTGCTCTCTCAGTGAGGGCCACCGCCGCCTCTTACATTATTGGCAATATCGGTATCAATAGTGGCCGATACCGATATTTGCCAAAATCCAGAATATCGGCCAAACTGATTATCGGTCTATCCCTACAAGAGAGTGACTGTGTCGCGGGAGCCGAGATAAGGTATAAACATTCCTGCTCTTACTTTGAAACAAAGCACTTCTTCCAGTCAGTTTATATATGTTTAGTGTTGTGTGGCCGGCCAGGGGAGAGAGGAGGAGCAGAGACAGGTGAAGCCACCTCCATTGAAGCTCATTGCTTCCCACACACACAACTCACAAGATAAGAACATGGGATAATATTAGGCTTGACAGCAGAGAAAAAAAGTCCCATGTAACAAACAGTCATCCAGCCTAAAGTAAAAAAATGTATATTGGATGTATATTGTCAGAAATGTACGGTTTTAATCTGCTTGATAGAAAATCGCAATAGAGTGAGTAGGTGTTATCCCAACTCAGAGAAGGGAATAAAAAAAGGTGATAGCCAAAGAAATAACAATAAGTTAAAAGGTAACCATTAATTTAGGAATAGGTCTGCCAACTATTTTCCCCAAATTCTGCAAAATGGTAAACTATCAACTCCGACTGCATTCTGATCCGCTGTCATGTAAGTGATCGCGTCTAGAGCATGCACATATTCAACTGAAGATCACTCTGCTTTGTCCTGCAATGTATTCTAAGTTGCTGTTGTTGCATTCACGACAGATGATGATAACATCACAAAGCATAGTAATCATTGGTTGGACAGATAGGTGTCTCAAACCAAGAAACAATTAAATACTCAGGGAGGGAATGCTACTGGAATATATAGTTTTGCCTTAAAGTTATTTGTGCATCAATGCTATCACTGTATGCATCTATACAACCTCTTTTTAT